ATAATGTTAATAACGTAATTCACTTTATTATAACGGATTGAATTTTATTGTATTTTTCATTCGCAACAAAAACAGAATGTCTCCGTAGTATATCTTGTGTCGTAATTTGGTTATTGTTGAATCGATCATATGATTCTTTAGTTCGCTGTTTAGCAATTCTGGATTTGGAGTCTTTTCTACAAGGTCACACTCTCCTACAGGCAGTGACAGACGCTGTTGATATAAGATCAAAGACCGTATGTCAATGACACCTCGTTCTAAAATATGAACTACTTCGTTATAGCATATCCGAAGGATTAAGTAAAAGAATGATGAAAAAATCAAATTCTAAAATAGATCGAATAAAGTAATCTCCTATGATGAGCAACAGCAGCTATAACGTGCTTCACAATTTAATTCTGTGAGGATTGCACTAACAGTTTTATTTAAATATTTTTTGAACATATGATTATATCCTAAAAGTGTGCGATAGACTTAGTTACAATTTGGAACTTATACGTTGCTTTCATACACCTTCACTAAAATTATCCATATACAAATAAATCCTCTATATAAACAACTTAAAAAGGGCGTGGATGTGGATCTTTATCGTTTCTTCACCCGCCTATATTCACACCCTTAAGAAACTATTTACACATTATGTTGCCAATTATGAAAATCTTTTGATGAGTGAAATACTCTCCAGTGACACAATCGTATCTATCGAAATTAAAATGAATTCACACATTGTCATGGATGTAGATGGAGAAAGAATCAAGTATTTTAAGAATTGACAATCGAATAGATGTAGCTTATATTGATCAAAATCATTCAAAGGCCGACGCTTCGTATGACTTGATTTTCTATCAATTAGCTCTATTATTTGTCAATGATATTATCACCTGTCTTTACTGTCAATGGCAATAAAATATCACACAGAGGATATACTATTGCATATAATATAATTAATATTATTTCTATTTTTCATCTGTTTTTTTTCTTGATCTGTCATCATAGTAGATCCATACTAATAGAAAGATACGTTTGGTTTAAAATTCTGATTTTTAAAATATTATACACGTTCTTGAATAAGGTATTGTGCTGTTTTTTTTATTTTATAACAGTAACAATGACAAAGAATTGAAAGAAAAAAAAATTAGAAAGACATATCACTATGTTATTTAATTATCATCATCGACATCTTCATCTTCATCATCATCATCATCATCGTCTGTTGATTCGTTGCGGACTTTTTGACGTTTTAGAACGACTAAAAGAAAATAATAACTAATTGTTTTAGAAATAAGATATTAACATACGTCCATCTTCTTCATCACTATCCGATTCATCTTCTTCATCATTATCCGATTCATCTTCTTCCTCATCTTCTCCATCAGAATGTTCAAGCTCATATTCTGTTCGAACAAGTCCTTTTTCATACAAAGTTGATACGAAAGTGATTTTATCTTCGATTGTTGCCAATGGTAAAGAATCAATACTAATATATTCTGGATAAATCGTGAAGAGCATTTCAAGTGCAGGTAATGTTTCTTTATCCACACCAAGTGTTGATAATGGTCGATCATGATAATTTCGAGCATTATCTGTTGTATAATATGCGACAATATTGTCTTCGTCATCTTCATCATTATGATCGTGTTCAACAACACGTAAACAATGACGACGTAAAAGACGAATACGAGTATCAGGCTCAAGTTCTACAACACTACTAACACGATTTAAATCACTATTCCATCGTTCACCTTGTTCTTGAATAGTTGTTAATTGTTCTTCTGCTGTTAATATTGGTGGTAATGCATCATGCATAAATTTTTGAGCCATTATATCAACACTATTATCCATTTGAATAGGAACACTTTCACGAAGTAATTCATCAAGTAATCGATGACAATTAGCATGAAATTTTGCACGTTTTTTCATAGATAATTTTTTTGTACTATGAATAAGGCCAAACTGATTGAGATAACCTAATGGTAAACCTTGACGAAATTTAACATTCGTTTTCACAGCTAATAATAAAAATAATATGAAAAATAATATTAGAAAATATTTTTAAAACTGACCATAATCTACTGCTTTAGGCAAAAGTATTTTGAAAAGATCTCCCCATGTTTGTTGTTGATAACAGCTAACAGTAAGATGTAATGAATGAGCATCATCAAGTGTATAACCATAATGAATATAACCACGTGGCATATAAAGAAGATCACCTGCTTCAAGTACAACATCGATACATGGTTTAATATTCTCTATAATATTTTTATCTAAATCAAAACTTGATTTTATTGGTAAAACTTCATCATCATTAAGTGGTTTATAAACACGCCAATGTTTTTTTCCTTCGAGTTGAAGAATAAATGCATCGATATCATCTAAAAATAAAATTATACGTATGTATAAATTAACAATATAATTCTGTAGACATATTCATTCATACCATAATGAGGTGGAAATCCTTGAGAACCAGGTGGTGTCAAATATGTATTTGCACCAACCAGTGAACCAAAGTATTCTTGAAGACATGATAATAATTTCCAAATAT